TTTAGTTGTAGTTGGATACAATACCTTTGCTTATTTATTTTTATGTGGTGCTGAGGATCGAACCCAGGGCCTCACGGTGAGACATGCTATGCAAGTGCTCTACGGCTGAGCCACAGTCCCAGCCCCAAGTTTTTGTTGTTTCTATAAAGGAAATTTGTTTTCATTATTATGTTTCTTACCTGGTTTTTGATGGTATATAAGAAAACATCTAATTTTTTTTTTATATTAACCTTCTCCAACTTACTTACTGAATGCTTTGATTATTTCTATTAGTTTTTTAGTTGCTTTTCTTAGATTTTTCTGGCTAGTCCTTTTTCTCTTCATTCCCAATACTTCACTATTTCCTTAGTTTTATTTCCGGCATGATATCATACCTTACTGAATGGCTACAGTTAGCTATTCTTTTTATTATTATTATTTAGTTGTAGTTGGACACAATACCTTTATTTATATGTGATGCTGAGGATTGAACCTAGGGCCTCACATGTGCTAGGTGAGTACTCTACCGCTGAGCCATAACCCCAGCCCCATTTAGCTATTCTTTATAGCTCTGCACAATAAACTAGGCAGAACAATTAGAGATATTGAATATTGACAAAGCAACCTTGTAATTTATCAGTACTGCTATATTAATTGCATTCATAGTACAAAACTTAGTTGAAAGTAAATTCATTTGTTAGATAAGAGAAGGACTGGATGACTTCTGAGCGAGTACTTGATAGCATTGATTGAATTGAGAGAAAAGAGTTGAGTGACTAAGAGGGCCATAGGTGAGAAAAGGGTAGAAGAAAGACAGCAGGAATAGGAGGCCAAAAAGAAAACATAATATCTTATTGAGATGAAATCATGGTAAAATATAAGATGGTCATTGATAACTGATGCTACTCAGCAGTGTTAGAATAAGCATACCAACACAAAGCCATTGTTTTTGTTACCAAGTAGTCTGTGATCTGCTTTAGTCTTTCATATACTTGTTAATTGTAGTTCTTAACTATTTTGTGGCTTCTTTAATTTGTATTTTTTTTTCTATTAGTGTGGTGGGAGTACTTATCAAAACTTACTTCTATGAAAATCAGTAGTATTCTTTGAGTAGTAGAACTGACTGGATAATTTTATGTGAAACCTGAAAGAATTATACCTTAATTTCAGGTCATGATTGTGATTTAAGTTCTATGTTTTGAACCAATCCAATTATACTCTGTGCCAATAATAGATAAAAACATAATAAGAAAAAAATTTTTAATGTAATCCAGAAGACAACATAAACTAATTTGTATAATAGAAATGCAAATTCACAACTAGAAATGAAAACATGGGCCTACCGGATTTGAGGTCTGGAAATGGCTAGAGGTAATTGGGAGTTCAATTTCAGTGTGGTATTGGGAAGTTAAAATGTCACAGAAGTCAGGAGTCCATAGCTAGGCTCAATAGTTAAAAGTAGGAATTTTAAGTTGGGCTGCCCTGCTCCTATAAGGAGGGTTGTATAGGAAATTCCCTGAGGTTGGGCTGGGTTGTGACTCAGTGGTAGAGTGCTTACCTAGCATGTGTGAGGCAATGGGTTCAATCCTCAGAACCACATAAAAATAATAAAATAAAGGTATTGTGTTCATCTACAATGAAAAATATTTAAAAAAAAAAAAAAGGTTCCCTGAGGCCATGGCTTATATAAAAAATACTTATCTAGAGTCATAGAAGGGCCTAAAAACTGAACAATACTTGAGCCATTCTGCAGTGGCTTACTGCCAGAACCTGTAGTAGTTCTGATATATGGAGCTTCCATTCACCTACAGGACACCTGGTTTTCAACTTGGGCCCCGCTGGGCAATGGTAAAGGCAAACAGAAAGATGTGAGACAGGATGAGATAAATGGAAAGGGATGAAAAAGACAGAACCCTCTATGGGTCTGCAAACTAGGCCAGACACATGCCTATAATCCCAGCTTCTTGGGAGGCTGAGACAGCAGGATAGCAAGTTCCAGGCCAGCCTCAGCTGCAGCGAGGCCCTGAGCAACTTAGTGAGACCCTGTCACAAAAAATAAAATGGGCTGGGGATGTAGCTCAGTGGTTAAGCACCCCTGAGTTTAACCCCTGGTTTTAAAAAAAAAAAAAATTTGCAAACTAAAATTCCAAAGCATTATTTTAAAAAGAAAAAAGCTAAACCTAGAAGACATTCAATAAAGTCAACAATCAGAAAATTCATTCACTCTCAGATGAAATAGACTGATTGTATTAAAAACTTAAAAAATAATAAGTATGGGGGCTGGAGTTGTGGCTCAATGGTAGAACAATTGCCTCCAAAGTGTGAGGCACTGGGTTTGATCCTAGCACCACATAAAAACAAATAAAGGCATTGGGTCTATACACAACTAAAAACAAAACAAAACACTATGTTAAAAAATAATAAGTATGTTTAAGATTCGTCAAAAGATAAACCATTTTTAAAAGAAGAAATTATGATGAATAAGACATGAAGTCAGAATAGACAGCTAAGTATAAGAACTGACTACTCATCTTAAGAATAAAATATGAACTTATGGAAATTGAATCATAGAATGAAAACTAAATTAGACATGGTTGAAGAAGGAGTTATTGAAGTAGGAAATTGTTCTGAAAAGTTTACCCAGTATGCAGAATACAGAGAGACAGAAAATACTCAAAAATATGTAATTATGCAGCTAGGAAACATTAAAAATAGAATAAGACGCCTGAGAGTATAGTTCCAGAAGAGGTTCTAAGAAAAACTAAGAAACAGTAATCAAAGAGCTAATGACTAAGAGTTTTCTAGAACTGAAAACCTACGTCCTCAGATTAAGAGCACAATCTAAATACTGAACAGGAAAAGCAAAAGTCAACTATAAAGAGAAACATTTAGTGCAACTATAAAACAAAAGATAAAAGAAAAACTTAAAGACTACCAGAGAGGAAAAAAAATAGATTTCCAGAAGGGTATGGATTAGACTCTTTTCAACAACAATAGGAGTTTACAACCAAAGAATTTTAAAAATACTGAGATGATAACTTCACTTCATTAAACCACCATTCAAGTTTAAGGGGAAAAATATTAACAGCAAAATAAAGATATTTTCAGACAAAGACTTTAATTTATCTTTGATATGCCCTATTTGAAAGGGCATCTAAAAGGGCATCTTTTTAGGAAGAAGGAAGGGGAACCCAAAGGTGTAGGAGTAGGTATACTTTTTGGCAGTTAATTAGCAATGATAATCAAAATAATTATTTTTGTCAAAATCACTCTGAAATACCTGGAAAATAATAAAGAAATAAGTAATTGAAGAAACACTGTCATGTGAAAAAAAAAAGAAGATGGAGATGCTGAATAATTTTAACTTTATTTTCCCTAATAAAACCACATATTAGGAGCTGGGGTTGTGACTCAGTGGTAGAGTGCTTGCCTGGCATGTGTGAGGCACTGGGTTCGATTCTCAGCACTGCATATAAATAAATGAACAAAATAAAGGCCCATTTAAAAAAATAATCTCTTTAAAAAATAAAAATTTAAAAACACACATATTAATATATTGAATATATTGAATACCTCCTGTGTTTTAGGCACTGTTCCGGAGTCTGGGAATAAAAGAGTTTTTAGAGGAAGTAAAGTACAGACTGCTTTTTAAAAGGCACTATTAACCCAAACAGATTTAAAGAAATACATGGTTAAATGGGGGCAGGGATCCTTGAAAACGAGTAAAAATAGGGAAGAAAAGAAAGCTGTGGCAGTATTAATGTTAGAAAAAAATGTAGTTTAAGGTGAAGAGCATTAATGAAGCAAAATGAGTAGCTGGAGCAATCTGTTGTGAAATTGAAAGTGAAAATTAACAGGATTAATTGACAAATTCACAGTCTTGTGAGAGATTATAGAATATCTATTAAAACTGGTAGGGACTGGGGGTGTAGCTCTTTGGTAGAGCCCTGGTCTAGCATGCACTGGGCTATGGATTTGATTCCCAGCACTGCAAAAAATAAAACTGATAGGTAAACAGAAAATTCATTAATATAGAAGACTTGAACAAGACAACTAATAAATTTAATCTAATTCAAATAGAAAAAATTTTAACCAACCACAGAGATTCTGCAGTAATTTAGAGTACACAAGAAATATTTACAAAAATTTTGTCCTAAATGACAGAAATTCTCCAAAATTTAAGGTAACCAGAATCATACATAACATAATCTCGAACCACAGTAATTAAACAGAACAAACAACAAAATGAAACAGTATAAAAAAAAATCATTTGACTAGAAACTAGAACATGTACTTCTAACAACTTAATATGTTGAAGAGGAAGTTTGAAAACAGCCTGTGTAGTACACATGAAGTAGGGAGAAGGAAGGGTATATTAAAGATAGGAACAGAATTAATAAATAAGGGGGGGTTGATACTTTATTAATTGCAAGATAGACCAAGAAAAAGTCTGTATTATTTGAATCCATTTCTGTTCATGGTTTATTTTCTAAGTTAGCAAAGTCTGTCTCTCTCTCTGCATTTTTGTGGTACTGGGGATTGAACTCAGAAGCATTCTACCACTGAGCTACAATCCCCACCCTTTTTTATTTTGAGACAGGATCTGAATAAGTTGCTAAGGCTGGCCTCAAATTTAGAATCCTCCTACCTCAGCCTCCGAGTAGCTATAGCTAGTATTACAGGCATGTTCCAGCATTCCAGGCAGCAAACTTAGATATTTAATATCAACCAATAAGAAAAACATAGGTCTCATAGTGGCAATGCTATGGAATGGTTTATGGGTATTAAAATGTGAAGTTCTAGGGGCAAATACCCCAAAGGTATAGAGATTAATACATATAAGTTCATTGCCAAATTTTTAAGAATATATTTTCTATAAAACAAAAAAAATTACCTATAGAAACTTAAAATATCAAATTTGTAGAATTGTTTTACTGTTGCTTGTTTTGTTTAAAATGTCTCTGGCCTTTAAAGAAAAGTTTGTTCTGCATATTTGAGGTGTTTTCTCTGCCTTGTTGTAGGTCACTCAGACGAGCCGTCCAGACCTGATTCTCTTCCTGATGAAATACCTGATGGCTCTCATAGTTGGTATTCCCTCTGTTTTTTGGGTTGGAAGCAAAAAGACATGTTTTGAATGGGCAAGTTTTTTTCATGGTCGTAGGAAAAAAGAGTAAGTTAATAAATTCTCATAGTGTTCATAAACCTTACATTTATGTAAGTTTTTTGTTTGGCTTATCTTAAAGTAGATATATATATATTTATTTATTTATTTATTTATTTATTTTGTGATGCTGAGGCTCAAACCCAGTGCCTCACCCTTGCTAGGTAAATGCTGCTGAGCCACAGCCCCATCCCTTTTAAAGCAGTTTATATTTGGAGAAGTATTCAAATAAGATTGTAACTTTGTCAGCAACCACCAGTTATGATTGGCACAGTAGCAGGTCTTATTAAAAACTTTTTTAAAAAAATTATTTTTAGTTGTCAATGAATATTTATTTATTTATTTGCAGTGCTGAGAATCAAACCAGTACCTCACACATGATAGGCAAGCGCTGTACCATTATTTTCTATACATTTTTTATTTGATCCTCTTGATATTTCTGAGAGGATTTGTATGTATTCGAATCTCTGTTTTACAGATGAGAAAACTAAGACATAGAAAGGTTAAATGCCTGGCCAAAGTCACACAGGTATTTAATATTAAGAGATAAATTGAGAAGCTGGGATATAGCTCAGTGGTAGAACACTTACCTAGCATATTTCCAGAACTGGGTTCAATTCCCAATAATGCAAACCCCTCTCCCCACCCCCAAAAAGATGAATTGAACTTCCATTTGGGCTAAGGCTATAGCTCAGTGGCAGAGCACTTGCCTAGCATATGTGAAGCATTGAATTCTATCCTTATCACCACATAAAAAATAAAACAAATAAAATAAAGGAATGCTGTCCATCTACAACTTCAAAAAAAAAATTGAACTTCCATTTGCAATTGTCCATTGTTCCTCCAAGTATATAGAAGATGATATAGAGAGATGGACTGATATTTCATTCTAATTTAGTATGTTTGTTTAATTAATTGTTTTATTTTAATTAGGTATATATGACAGCAGAATTCAGTTTGATTCATTGTACACAATTGCAGCACAACTTTACGTTTTTATCATTGTACACGACTTGGTGTCACATCATGTGCAGTCATACGTGTACCTAGGGTAATGATGTCCATCATATTAAAGTTTATAACCTCAGTTTTTTGTTTTGTCTAATTGCAATCTGAAACTATTGAAACAAAGTTAATTTTGGGTAGTGGCAGTGGATAGTCTTATTTTCCTAATTTTAAAGAGATTTTTTTCTATATTATTTCTATTTCTAATGGTGTTTCCATTACACGTTTGGCTTTGAATCAAGAATAATATTATTAAGAGGATCAATGGAGAATGTATATAAAGTATTCAATAAATATTTGTCTCCTGTCTGTTCTTCTACCCTAGCTAAAAACAATCATTTTGTAATTTGAGAACTTAGAAAATATATTTCTCAATATATGATCCTGTCTTTGCATGTTGAGTTTTATTTTTTTTTAATATTTTTTAGTTGTAGATGGACACGATATCTTTATTTTTATTTATTTAATGTGTTGTGAAGATCGAACCCAGGGCTTCACATGTGCAAGGCAAGCACTCTACCACTAAGCTACAACCCCAGCCCATATTTTTTTAATGAAATTGTTTATCTAATTTTAACTTTAACTTATTCTCATAGGGAGTCACTTCTTTCATAAACCAAGTCACCAGTCTTTAGAACTATTTATTTAGCTTTTTGTTAACTGAATTATTGCCTTGTTCCTCATCATAAACATCTACTTTTAACTCTTTTCATACCACTTGAAAACTTATGCTCATGACAATAATTCATCCCCTTAAATTTATTCCCTTAAACTTTTAATTTGGTACGAATTTTATGTTTGTTTAAATCAATGTCTCATTTTGTTCTATTTATGGCTACCTATGTTTATTACAGCACCAGAAAACTGCTTCTACCACAAAATCAACTTTTAGCCTTAAATCATCTTGTATTCATTATTATAATGAGGCCTCTCCCAACTTCCATAATCATGCAAGAAAACAGATTTTCTATTTTATAATTATTCCTTTGTAATATTTTAGTGTCTTTACAATCATAAATTTCTTTAGCTAAAAGAGACCTTTTAGCAATTTTGAAATTGTACACCTTTATTTTATAAATGAGTAAAATGAAGGAAAGAACGGTATTGATAGAGTTGGAACTAAAATCCTGATTTCTTTTCTCTAATATAGGTCTCTTTTCATCATACCACTTCAGGGAATAGATTGACATGAATTTTTGTTTTATATTCCCTTTGTCAACAAGGTTACCTTAAAACAAGCCTAAAGACCTAATTTGGAGAGCATTTAATTTCAAGAATAACATCAGTATGTCATAATGGGGTTGTCTCTTGGTTCACAGGGATGCCAGTCTGAATCTTAATTTTACTATTATATTGTCTAGGATAGTGAATGAGAGCCGGCAGGTGCTCCAGGAACCTGACTTTGCTCAGTCACTCCTGAGAGACCCAAACACGCCCATCATAAGAAAATCAAGGGGCACTTCCACTCAAGGAACATCCACACATGCTTCCTCAACCCAGCTGGCTATGGTAGATGATCAAAGAAGCAAAGCAGGAAGTGTCCACAGCAAAGTAAGCAGCTACCACGGCAGCCTCCACAGATCGCGCGATGGCAGGTAGGTGTGATTGTAGCTTAGTTTGTTCCCTGTGTTGATTTATGGTCCTGTAGCTGAAGAACGAAGAGAAGCCATTTCTGAAACAGAAGTTGAACATTATTAAAACCTTTTGACGTTTACTAGGTAGAGTTGTTCCAGGTTATGGTCAGCCATTAAGCCAACCAGAGGACTTAGAATTTAACTTAGCAGGGCTGGGGATGTGGCTCAAGCGGTATAGCGCTCGCCTGGCATGCATGCGGCCCGGGTTCGATCCTCAGCACCACATACAAACAAAGATGTTGTGTCCGCCGAAAACTAAAAAATAGATATTAAAATTCTCTCTCTCTCTCTCTCTCTTTAAAAAAAAATTTAATTTAGCCTTAAAACAGTTAAGCAATATGGAGTCATCATAGAACATTGAGTAGGGAGAAGGTGAAAGTGGTAGGTTAGTTAGATTAATTAAGCTAACGATTATGGAATACACTAGTACAGTGCTGTGCTAGGCTCCAGAAATGCAAAGATGACTTAAGCATTATCATAGTTCTTAATAAGTTCCTACCTACTCTATTTACAAAGATAGTGTAGTTAGTGGTGTGGTTAATAACTTGGGTCTGGACTGATGAGCCTCAGTTTTCTCATCTATAAAATAGAAATAGCATTAATATCTGTCCCTTAAGTAATGTTGTAAAAATTAAATGAGATAACATACCTGATTATTTAGAATAGTGCCTATATCAATAAGGGTCTGTTTTCAGTCTCTATTATTACAAATGAACAATTAAAGTAAAATATAAGTATAGTAGTAGAGTCTAGGGGTTGGCAAAAATATTTTGGGCTTTATGAGTCACACATTGTCTATTCAAGTCTGCAATTGTAGCATGAAAACAGCCATAGACAACATGTAGTAAGAAACATGGGGGTGACCATATTCCAATAAAATTTTATCTACAAAATCCAGAGGGGAGTCAGATTCAGCCATTAGGCCAAAGTTTGTCAGCCTCTGTTTACCAGGTACAATAAAATATAGAGAAGGGAGATAATTCTGGTGGGTGGGAGCATTTCAAAAAATGCTTCACACAGAGAATGTTTTAAGAGAGTCTGTCTGGGATGGGGGTTCTCTGTGTTTCTCATTTGCTAGCAAGGCAATAAAACTTTTTCCCATTTCTTAAAAAGAAAAAAAAAGTTTGGCTGTGGGCTTCTTGTTAAATTGAGACACTAGAATTAAAAAGCAGTTAGGAACTTTGCAATAATTCATTGGAGAGATGATAAAGGCTTACAGGAGACTAGTGGCAGTAGGAAGAGGAAAAAAAGCTGACCTCAAATATATGTAGAAAGAAGAAATGATAAGCTTTGATGATAGGTTAATATTAGCAGCTGGAAACAAACAAAAAAATGTGCCAAAGATTTTCTTTCTTTTTTTAAGATTTCTTGTTTGGGCAAATGAAAGAGTGAAAATTCTGATATGTAAATCAGGAACATTCTGTGTTTACTTCACAACATCTCCATCTCGAACTGTTTTGTATCCTGTTGATCTCAGACCAGCCTTTTCTTAGTTTTCTCCCTGTCCTCCCACTGTAGAATGTGACCCCTATACTCTCCTTTATTTTTTAGTTGTGGATGGACATAATACCTTTATTTTATTAATTTTTTTGTGTTGCTGAGGATCGAACCCAATGCCTCACTCATGCTAGATGAGCATTCTACCACTGAGCCACAACCCCAGCCCTATAGTCTCCTTTTTGACCGTCTGGTTTTCCTTTCAACCTGCTTTCTTTTGCCTTCTAATTTGATCAGCTACCCTATGCTTTAAAAAGCAACAATCTTTCTTCACCTCTGATATATCTTCTATCTGTGTATGTGTACACGCACATAATTTAGGCATTGAACCTAAGGCCTTGCACATGATAGGAAAGTGCTCTACCATTGAACTACATCCATTTTTATTTCAAGTCAAGGATCTTGGTAAGGTGAATGTTCTTAATATTTCCTATCTATTCTGTCCTTCATCCCTTGTAATACTAGTCTTTTTCTCCTCCTTACTTAGCTGCACTAAACCCTTTAACATCACCAGTGACTTCTTAACCACGTTCAACGATTCCCTTTTGCTTTCTGGCTTCTTTCCCTCTACTTAGCACTCCTATATAAGAAGCATTCTTCCAAGTGCTAAGAATGCAAAGATGGAAGACAGAAACTAAATTATCAATTTCAGTACATTTTAATAGGTATAATAAAAGTATATACATGGTGCTTTGGGATCCCAGAGAAGAAAACCATTTGCCTCATCATGGAAGGTCTGAGACAACTTCCCAAGATGAGGCACTTCTACTTCAAATGGGATTTGGAGGAGACAATTGGGAATGAAAGATGAAGAAAAACCATGTTCAGAGGCAAGGAGGACAGGCAGGTTGTTAGGTGCCCGGGCACATTATGCAGGTTTGATATTTATTTTCTATATAACTGGTTTCTAATTATCCATGGAAAGGGTGTTCATATTTGAGAATTTTTTGAGAATAGTCATACATATCACTTATTTAGACATAATTATACAACAGAGTGATTTTTTCCTACAAAAAATGCTTTCTTTGAGTTTTATTTCTAACTCAAAAGATTTAGATTTTATTTTAAAAAACACCAAATTCATATTTAAATGATGATTTATTTTTAAATTATATTCTACCTTTACTAGAACACTGCAGTTTGCTTTTTTCATTAGCCATATTTATTTTAAATAAATAGCCATTGAGAGGTAAAAGATCTCCAAATCAGTTGGCAAATCATATTTGGAAACTTGGGAAAATCTTGCTTAGTTTTAGGACAATAACCATTATCCAAAATAACAATTTTTAAAGTTGAATAACAAGAATATTGTGGAACTGAAACCATGCTGAGGAGTTAAGATGTTTCCCTAACAGCAGTGATAAACTATTATGGGACTGTGAGTGCTGGGGGTGATAAAAATCAGACTTGAATTTTAGAGAAACTACTTGGCAATGGCATAATAAAGAAGGGGATTGTAAATTAGACTGGTTATGGGGCTGGGATTTAATTTTTAATAATTTTTTTAGTTTTTGGCGGACACAACATCTTTGTATGTGGTGCTGAGGATTGAACCTGGACTGCACGCATGCCAGGTGAGCGCTACCGCTTGAGCCACATTCCCAGCCCATGGGGCTGGGATTGTGGCTTACAGGTAGAGCACTCGACCAGCATGGGCGGGACCAGGATTCGATCCTCAGCACCACATAAAAATAAAGACATTGTGTTATGTCTATCTACACCTAAAAAATAAATATTTAACAAAAAACCAAAAAGATTGGTTAGGAAGTTTCTACAGTAATTCAAAGGTCCTAATTTAAGATACTGATAAGAATCAAAATTTTAGAATATATTTTATCAGTTACCACCTTCATCATTGACTTGGATATTACTGATCTCTTCCTTTTTGATGAACAATGAATAATTATTTATGGTACAATTCCTTTATATGTGGCATTCTATGTATAAAGATATATAGAAGAAAGGTAAGGTGTAATTTCTCCATTCTAAGAGCAATGTAACCTTATAGAAAAGGACATATACAAATTAACCTGTCACATAAAAGCTCAGGCCAGGATATAATTTAAACAGTATTAGGTATGATTGATGTTTGTAGAACTTCAGGAAAGAGAAAGATTAGATTGGTCCATGAAAATATAGTAGAAGACATAAATAGGGTAAATAAATTATAAAAGATAATTCATATTGAGCTATAGAGGAAATAAATAGGGTGAATAAATGGTAAAAGATAAATTCATAGTGAGCAGAGAATTTCTAAGGGCAGTTAAAGATAGGAGATTTCAACCAGTGTAATCTGAGTGGAACTGGAGCTTAAATAAGAAAGTTTTTAATCATCAGTATAAGGTAGTGGTAATTAAAATTGTGAGATGGAATGCCTTGAGTCACAAGGGAAAAAAGTACAAGACCCTAGTAAATACTTAGAGTAGTAATAATAAAGAGAGAAGAAGAGTAGGCATGTGATTCAGAGAAAGTACTCACAAACCTACAAGGGAATCTGTGAATGTGTTTGTCACAAAAACCAGAGGATCCAACATGATTTCCTACCTCTCTGTGTAATCAAAAATCATACACTTGCTTCAGGGCTGTGTAATTCCAATTTCCATGGCAGTTAATTTTCTGCTTTTTATAATTCTTTAGGTTATGATCTATTTTCAGTACAGGTTTCTTTCCTCAGCTAAGTTTGCAACTTCTAGAGAATGAGACAAGGTGACATATGTTTCTGTATTCCTTCTTAGTATATAGCACTGTGCTAGGGATATATATAGTAGGAGATGAGCAAATCTATCAGAGAAATAATGACTTTAGAGAAATATATCCCTTTCCCAGAAATTCAGGGCCAGAGCTACAATGGCACCTATAGAAAGCATCCTATATTGAGGCTCATGCTATAGGACCCTCTGCCAGATTGAGAGATCACAAACTATGTTGAACCTGAAAATCCAAACAAGGATTTTTATAATTCCAAAAGTCATCTGATTGAGATTTCTTTCTACTTCCTTGAAACTTAACTTTGCACGCTAATGCTATCTCTTGGTCATCCTCTCACTGTCTCGTGGTTTCTTGGCTGTGGGACACAAACATCTAACACCCAGTGCAGACAACTTGATGAAATATTATTGATCTCTGTGCTGTGCACACCTACATATATATGTTAACTTCAAAAAATAAGTAATTGGTAGTTAGATGAGAGGATGTATAGAAAAGGAAGTGGATGAGTAGGTGGGTGGAAGTTTGGAAATGAGTGATTAGGTTGGTAAATAGGTGATCTGACAAGGAAAGCTGGGGAGTGAATAATGAAGTACTAGTAAATCTTCAGTTAATTCAATTATTATGATCAATGGGAGCAAATAATATAGAGAATCAAAAAGAATAAATCATTTTCTAGAGTTTTTTTTTCATTTTAACTTTGGAATGTACTATATTATCTTCTTAACAGTGGCAGTAAAATAACCATCCTAATTGTTTTGCCTAACCTTATATTAAAATTATTGCATATTCATATTATGTATTAGAATATATAGTCATTGATTTGAATGACCTTGAAAAAATAAATTTGGCAATTCTACACATAACTGAGATTAAACACTATAATATTTTTTATATAATTGATTCCTAATTATCCATGGAAAGGGTGTTCATATTTGAGAATTTTTTGTGGATAGTCACAGACATTACTCATTTAGATATAATTATACAACAGTAATTTTTCTACAAAACTGCTTTCTTTGAGTTTTATTTCTAATTCAAAGGTTTGATTTTATTTTTAAAAAATACCAAATTCATTTTAAATGATGATTTATTTTTTAATTACGTTCTAGCTTTACTAGAACTCTGCATAGTTTGCTTTTTCATTAGCAATATTTATTTGGAATAAATAGCCATTGAGAGGTAAAAGCTCTCCAAATCAGTTGGCAAATCATATTTGGAAACTTTGGAAAATCTTGCTTAGTTTCAGGACAATAATCATTATTCAAAATAATAGTTATTAAAGTAGGATAACAAGAATATTGTGAAATATTTTTATCTGCAAACATTGTAAATTTTTTTGTAAATTTTTAAAAATATCTTTTATTTATTTTTTTTATCGAACCCAGTACCTCACATGTGCTAGGCAAGCGCTCTACAGCTGAGCTATGACTCCAACCCCTGTAAATTATTTTACCAAAATATGTATTACAAATTTAAATCTGTTTGGATCCTAAATGTGAAATATCTGTAATAAATGAAAACTACATATTATTTTAGCCATTAACATGAGAAATTTTTTGAACATTTAAATATGCATCTTTTCATTCTTAAATTTTCTTTTTTCTTAAACTGGAAACAAAGATACACCTTTTAAAAATTATTTTCAAAGGAGTTCTTAATTTTCAAACTTGGTAATCTAATAGAATGTTCTTTGATAAGCACATCTATAAAACCTGAGGACTGACGGGTGGGGTGGTGCCGCCTATAATCCCAGTAACTCAGGAGGCTGAGGCAGGAAGATCAAAAGTTCAAAGCCAGCCTCAGCAACTTAGGGAGATCCTAAGCAATTTATCAATACCCTGCCTCAAAATAAAATAATAATAAAAAGGGCTGGGGATGTTGTTAAATGGTTAAGCACCCCCTGGGTTAAAAAAATAGCGTTCACCTTAGTAATGTATGAATCTTTCAAATCTCTAAACTTTATGAATGATTCACATTGAGTTATTATTATAAAGGAATGATATAGGAATGCTTTTTGACAGTCAATAAATCTTTAGCTGCTTATGATTATTTTGATGACTATTAAAAGAGAACCAGATACGGTGGCATACACCTGTAATCCCAGGGCCTTCGGAGGCTGAGGCAGGGGGATGGTGAGTTCAAAAAAGACTGGTGATACAGCTCAGTGGAAAATTATTTGCCTAGCATGCATAAGACCCTGGGTTCAATTGTCAGTACTGCAAAAACAACGAAGGGCTGGGGTTGTAGCTCAGCGGTAGAGTGCTCACTTGGCATGTGCAAGGTCCTAGGTTAGATCCTCAGCACCACATAAAAATAAATAAAATAAAAGTATTGTGTCCAACTACAACAAAAAATAAATAAATATTTTAAAAAATATATTCCTTAAAGTTACAAATTATACTCCATTTTCTTTGTGTTTTAGTATCTTAAATTAAATATTTTTTTTACAAAAGAATGTATGTATGAGCATATGAACAAACACTATTTTTGAATACTGTTTCTTGAGGTACTAGGGATTTAAAGAGAAATAAAATATGGTTCTTATCCTGAAAGAACTCACTGCTGTGCAAGAGAGATTGATAATCATCTAGTAAACTATAAGCGAAGAACTAATAAAAAATTGTAATTGATTTTCATGACCTTGACTGGCCTAGAGCTAATAATTTCTCATTCCTCATGACAGAATTTTTTAGTATTTTTGCCTCTGATGAGGCTTACTGAGTTAGGATTGCAACAAAAGGAAGTTTAACAGCACTACTGATGCCTTTCAAGATAAGAACCGTGATGGAGGAGGCTGCCTGTGCTGAGCCAAGTAGCCCAGCGACATGCTTGGAGCCAGTCTTGGGCCAAGGGTACAGAGAATTTGCTGTAGTATGAATATAGGTTAGAGTGTTAAGACTTTAAAGATGTCGCTTATATGAAAGATTCTTCACAGCCTGAAGTCCTAATGAAAGTAATTACAGGTGGTTAATCAGTTGTTAACTGAGTTATTTGCCAATGCATTCACTTATTTATTTATTTTAAGTTATACTAATTTCATCTCTGATTTCACATGCTTCTTCTTCAGATACTAGTCTTAGTAGAATTTGAGTTTGCACTACTACTGATTATAACTAGTCTTCTAGACTCCAGGGGCACTGTCATGTATCCTCTGTTGTTCCTCCTGTCCCTGGACCGCCTAAAAGTTATTTGAATATGAGAAAAGTGCCCATACTTGGCACAGCTCCAAATCAGTCAGCCTCCCTTTACCCTAGGGTAACCCTTTTGTAGGCAATAAGACCTTAATTTTGATCCGGAATGGATTAGCTCATCATTTTTGTCTTTTGTTAGCTTTGCCAGATAATTCTATAGCCTTAAAGAAATTAACCAAAAGTTGGGTACTGCTTTTCATTGTTGGTTTCCTACTCATTTTACTTACCGAGGCATTTTCATGTAAGTTCTTAGTGTTATTTTCTAGTGTGTTCTGTTGCCCACCTCAAAACCTACTCTCCTGCGTCAGGTACACTCCCTGCAGTTACCGAGGAGTGGAGGAGAGACTACCTCACGGCAGCACATCACGACTAACGGATCACTCCAGGCACAGTAGTTCCCACCGGCTCAACGAACAGTCGCGGCATAGCAGCATCAGAGACCTCAGCAACAACCCCATGACTCACATCACACATGGCACCAGCATGAATCGTGTTATCGAGGAGGATGGAACCAGTGCTTAGTTTGTCTTGTCTAAGGTGGAAAGTTGTGCTGTTTAAAAAGCAGATTTTATTCTTTGCCTTTGCATGACTGATTGCTATAGCTATTATCCTGCTTTCAGTCAGGTGCAGATTGTGTCCATTGGGAAGGTGAATTTTTGCTTTTTATATTGCATCAAACTTGGAACATCAAAGCATCCAAAATACTAAACATTATATCATCACAAAAATAAGTCTTTCTAGGTTGTGAAGAGATAATTATTTGTCTGGTAAGCATTTTTATAAACCCACTTATTTTATATTTAGGAAAATTCTAAGTGTGTGGTGACTGCTTTGTAGTGAAATTTCATATAATATGAACTAGTTGTAAGATAACATTCTGGTAGCTCTGTTAATACAACAAAGTTTCAGAATTAAAGAAATTTTCTATGCAAGGTTTATTTCTCAGATGAATAGGACTTTGTAGTTTTATTTCCACTAAGTAAAAAAAGAACTGTTTTTAAAGAGTAGGAAAATTTAATAAATCAGCAAGGGTATTTTAGCTAATAGAATGTAAGTGCAACAGAAGAATCTGATTCACCTGTGGAGATTCTCTCAAAATTCTATAAAAATAATCCAGAGATATTCAGGATTTGGATAAACAATGGGATAAACACAGAGATGGGCATTTTTCCCTATAATTGTGTTGCTTTTATTACTTTTGTAAATATTACTTTTATTGGCTGTGTTTTTATAATATCCATATGCATGATGGAAAAATTTTAATTTGTAGCCATCTTTTCCCAGGTAATACTATTGAGTCATAGAACTTCATGTTCAGATCTGCTGTGTGGAGGCATGTAGTAAGCATCACACTTTATAAGGGTTTTTTTTGTATGTGTGGTAACCACAAAATGGCAAAATGTTTTCTCTGTTTTCATTGTTGTATTTTATTATGGTGAGATTTGACCTTGCCAAACCCACCATACCTTGGTATCCAGGCCCTCCCTATAGTGAGCTGATTGTCTGCAATGCATTCATTGTTCAGTAGGCAGTTGGCTACAGCTTTTGCCCCACATCCCTGTTTTCAGTTTCTGGACCATTCTTGTTTCAGCTGAAATATATATATAATCTATGTCCAAAGTGGTAATTAATTTGGATATTTGAAAATCATTGTAGCTAAATGAAGCATGATTAGTCTCACTATGAATATATTTTAATCTTAAAAATATCAAGTCAAAAATGTTTGACATTTTATCTTGTAATGTTTAATTTACAATATGAACTGTGAATTTTATTAGGCATGAAATTGATCGGAAGGGAAAGAAAATGTCTGGAAAATGCCAAATGTGTTCTGTAGAAAACACAAGTGATCCTTAACCCTGATTGCAGATAAAAATCACTTGGGGAACTTCTGATACATGCTCTCCCCTACATAATTCTCTTTTTAGATGAGAATTGCTAGCTTTTTAAAAGAAGCTTTCTGAGTGATTCTAATTTGCAGCCACATTTGAGGCACATGATTTGAAACTCATCTGCCCCTGATAGTGATCTGATGGTATTTCATTACATCCTATGAAGATCTAGCTGGATTCGACAATATGTTTTTATGTCATTACCTATCATACAATTGTTTCCTACTTTATTTCCTACATTTAGAAATGCATAATTCTTGGCTTCACTCCCAGAGATTCTTATTCAATAAGAATTGAAGGTAATTGGGCTTTAAAACCTGTAGTTATAAAAATACCACAGATGATTCTTATGCAGGTAATTTGGGACCACACTTAAAAAATATTCTAGACTCTTGGGGAGTCCTGACTCTGCCATATTGCTAGTTTCTGACCTTTAACGATTCAATCTCTTTGAACCTGGGTCCCATTATTTGAAAATGAAGATGAAAGATTAATACCTATTTTACCTACCTCACAAAGTTGTTGAATTAAGATCAATGAAAACAATTTTATGGAAGCTCTTTGCAAACTGTAAAGCATGAAATATAAGGGACTAAGATTAGAGGGCTTAATAAATGTGTTTTAGGACTACTGTAGTACATTTCTTCACATGTTTTTAATTCCTGTGTATATTTGTTTCTCTCCCTCTTTAAAAAAAAAAAAAAAATAGTACCAAGAGAATAGGTATTGAAAAAGAAGCTTTCACTGGGCAGAAGAATCAGTCTGAAAATCATAATTTATTTGTATATCATCTTTCATAGTACATATATCTTAATATGAATTATCAATTCTTCATAAGATATATTTGAACATTTCACCCAGTTTTTTTTCCTCTGTTCTCTTTGTCTTTCCCTGGAACTAGAGTTAATGCTCTAACAGGCAAGGTCTGAATTCCCTCACAACTGATAATTAGTAAACCATTCCTCTGAAGAGCCCATGTTATAACCTACCTATAAACAAATCAATAATTCATAAAGCGTTGAGAATTTCTCCTGAGAACAGCATGAAAGAACCAAAACAAACACTCGCAAACAAAAATAAGAAGTTAAAATAGAAGGTACCAGTTTGAGCTCAAAGATGTTGTCATCTATCACCATCTGCATTATATTATCAACTGCCAAAATGTTAATTAGTTCTCATGTATAAGTGAGCCAAGTATAGACAGTTAAGTGAACATTGCTATGAAAATCTTAACTTTGTGTTTCCAGATATTTTTGTATTTATGTGTCTTCTCTGTTAAAACTAATTGTTGCTATGTTTGTGAATGCTATTTTGACTTTCCAGTTACTTTCAGTAAATATCTTAATGCCCCACAAAATTTACATTATATTGTTAGTCTGTTGTTTTAAGTAATCAAACCTAGTGCTCCAAGTAAAGAATGTTTTCTTTTTGAAGAGACCAATGAAGAACTATTGCAAAAACAGCAATTGCAAGTCTTGACTTGCTTAAACCAACTTGAACAAGTGTGGACAGTCTTCTTACTGTATGCTTAATTTTTATTTGTGTCATGATTAGCATATGCTAGTGTTTAGTGTTTTGTTTGTTCAGTTGACAACTGAGAAAAAATACTTCTCTCTAAAATGTTCATATGTTGTCAAAAGGTTTTTTGAAAAGTAATTTCAACAATATTATTTTATTCAATAATTAGGTAAGAGATCCAAGACAATATTAAGATCCAAACAATAATTTATTTCAAACAACAATTGATTAATAACAACTATCACAGGGCTAAACATATAGTAAGTTTCTCCATATTTAAATTAATGAATAACTCATGTCACACAATTTGCTTTTTTTTAGTACCAAGAATTGAATCCAGGGGCACTTAACCACTGAGCCACATCCCCAACCCCCAACCCCCTTTTATTTTATTAGAGACAGGGTTTCTCTGAGTTGCTTAGGGCCTCGATAAATTGCTTAGGCTGGCTTGGAACTCGTGATCTTCCTGCCTCAGCTGCCAGAGCTGCTGGGATCACAGGTGTGCACGAGGGCACCCTACTCACAGTTTGCTTTTTACTGTCTCCCATCAAATTTGAAAGATTCAGATTTAAACTAAGTGAAGTGAATAAGAAACAATTTACACCAAGTAAGCTTATTTCTCCTAGAATAACAGTCTGTTATTATTTTAATTAAAAGAATAATATATATAAAAACCATTTTAATTAATTTTTTAAAATGAATAGTGATTCTTAGAAATAAGTAATTTAGGGCTGGGGTTATGGCAGTGATGGAGTGCTTGCCTAGCACATATGAGGTGCTGGGTTTAATCCCCAGCACCACATAAAAACAAATAAAGTAGATGTATTGTGTCCATCTACAACTAAAAAGAAAAAAGTAATTAAACTCTTGTTAGTCCTCATGCTAAATAAAATTTCTATGTACCAGATGAATGAATAGATAATCAAGCAAACCTTTTTTTTTTTCTTCTGCTTCTGAAAGCAGATCTATAAAAATTCTAAGAATCTTTTCGAATTAGGAAAATGTACTGCATTTTAACATACCTCATTGTCTTTGTTATGGTAATAGCTGAAAATAAGTGAAATTGTACCCATCATAGCTTAAGCTATGTCTCCATGAAATGAAAGGAAGTACTTAAAAATTTTTTGGTAAAATATAGTGGGTCATTGCCTGGAGCTTAGAAGATATATACCAACATTTCAGTGTATTTATAGTGCTTTTTGACATGCCAAAGGTACATTTACACATTCTCATATTTGGTTGACTTATGTAATTTAGTGTAATGAAAATTCGACCAGGCTTGAAATTCAAAGACCCATAATAATTTTGTCAACTGGATTGGTCATTTAATTTCTCTTATTCTAATTTCTTCAGTATAAAATGAAAATAGTGTATTTTTTGGTCCCAGCCTACTTCACTGGATATTGTGAGGATCAAAGGAGACAATAATGTGTTGGGCTGGAGTGTAGCTCAGTGGGAGAGCACTTGCCTCACTTGTGCAAGGCTCTGGGTTCCATCCCCAGTGCTGGGGAACAAAGAGCATACATAAACTGCTGTACTGATACTGTCTTTGTTAGAATTTGGGGGTTGTAGAAAGCAAGGCTATAGTCTTCAGTAGTATTTGTTTTTATAGTGACAACAAAATAGGTAATTAGACCAGTGTTCATTCGATAAACCCAATCAGCACTCCAATTAACTTTTTTTAAAAACAGGTTCTTTTAGAGTAACTATTCTTTTTAATGGTTTGGTTCTTTCAGATATGTTACACCAAGTGTGCACTCAAATTTCATATGGCTGAATTTCTAGGTCACTTCCAATAGAAATTGGGGGTCTCCGTTTTTTTGTTTTTCCTTTTATATGGAACTGTATGAGCTCATTATTAGCTTGGCTTGGTGGAAACTTATAAGAAAAATATAAAGAGGAATGTAGGCCCTGTAATCTTTTTTTTTCTTTGAGGACTTTTATGTACCTGATTCTTTCTGATTGAGAACAAATTTTGAAAAGATGATTACTATAATTTGTTTATTTTTTTATTATGGCAAAACTTTGAATTTTAAGCTATAATACTATGGGAATTATTTGTATATATGTACATGAATTTTTAAAAACCTGTGTAAAGCAAGAATTTCTTCTTCATTCTTTACACATGAACAAAGTAAGACATTTTTATAGACCCTAGATTTACAAAGGAATTTGTGATTCTCTTATTTAAACTTTTTGTTTGCCTTTTTATGACCAATTAAAATAAGGAAAACTTTTTACATTTAATTCAGCTGTGTTTCCTAGTATCCATATAATTTTATAGATTATCTTATATAATTTTGATCTATTTTTATGAAATATTTATATTGTTTAATTCTCTTCTTTCTAGTTATATGATTTTGGTAAAGGCATAGAAAGATATAACATTCTTTACTTTCCTTCTCTTATTGGTCTATGTTTTTTCTAACTTAATTTGAACCCTATTTTTTTAGTAATCAATTTGATACAGGATTATATTGTTCTCTCAGGATTCAGGTCTTCTAGGAAAGAAGTCCATCCAGAACCAGCCACCTTGGTGGACATTCCTGTTTGGTTAAATTATAAAGATTTAATATAATTTAATCAGCATATTTCTTACTGTGGTCTCTAATTAGAAAGTAAAACTTGGTTGCTATAAAGACAAAGTAAAGTTTTTACTAATAATTTATTCGAACCCCAAACCAATACAACATTGCTTCCCATAAGGTAGAATAGTAACTCCACCTCATGCACTGAAGAGCAGTTTCCTTTCCAGGACTCTTTTAATAATCACCTGTCTCAGGAAATCTTTGGTGTCCTTCATGGACATTTTTGTTGTCATGATAGTGTTTTTCATATCTTATTCTCATTTTATTGGCCTCTACACCAGTTTTCCCTGATGGAGAAACAAATTTTTTACCTTGTAATAATATAAAACTTAAAGATTCCATGTTCCATTGTTCTGCTAGTCTCCTTTAATTAGTAAAGTTAGTGTTTTTAAGATATGTTATATTTGCTGAAGTATTACTTGATTACTATTGAAGGCTTAAGGTTTTTTATGTAAATCAGCTTGTTTTTATATACCAACTTGCATTTATTTCTTTGTATTGTGCTTATTGACTTTTCCCTAATATCTTGGAGCTTAACAGTTTCTGTTTTCTAAATTGAGGTGCTTTCCCTAATGACTAGTAAAAAATGCATTGTTATTTTTTAAATATCCCAGGGTTTTAAGTCAAGTACCCTGATTTGTAGTCTTACCTCTCTTTTCAATATAACTTTGGACAAAGCATTTTACCTGCTTAGGCCTCGGTGTCTTCATCTATAAATGAAAGGATTAGATGAGGGCACATCTCAGATTCCTCTGAGCTCTAATTTGATTCTCTCTTGACCATTTTATAACCATGATTCCAGGCTCTATTTTATTCTTGTTATTTTTCCCATGAATTTAAACTTATTAGATTGACTTTTACAACTTAAACTTAACAGGATTTAAATATGTTATTAACTTTGTTTTCCATCATTATTTCAAGTAGTTTTAAAAGAAAAAATACATTACAGTAACAAAAATGAAAGAAAAGTTATAGATACTGGACATGGCCTTTTTTGATGGGAAAAGTCTTCTGAAGGACCAACATAAGCATCTTTTTTTTTTTTTAGAGGGAATTTTAATATTTATTTTTTAGTTTTCGGCGGACACAACATCTGTGTTTGTATGTGGTGCTGAGGATCAAACCAGAGCCGCACGCATGCCAGTCGAGCACGCTACCACTTGAGCCACATCCCCAGCCCCCCCAACATAAGCATCTTAATTGATAACACAAAAAGAATGACATAAAATTTGTAATATTTTTTTTCTTAAATATGAATACAGCTAGGGCTGAGATTGCGGCTCAGTGGTAGAGCGCTCACTAGCATGTGCAGGGCCCTGGGTTCGGTCCTCGGCACCACATAAAATAAATGAATGGAATAAAGGTGTCCAACTAAAACTAAAAAACAAAATAAATATTTAAATATATATATATATATGAATACAGCTAGTTGGCCAAAACTTTACACAGAATGAGTTCAGTGGGGCTGGATATAGTTCAGTGGCAGAGTACTTGCTTAGCATGCAGAACACCCTGGGTTCAGTACATACAAATGTATTGAAGCTAAAATTAATGAACAAATCAGTGATAACACTGGTCCATTTAATTTAAAAAAACTTAAGTTTTTGCCACAGTGATAGCACTGGTTCGTTTAATTAAAAAACTTAAAAGT